AGAGAATCAAGGAGAAGGATGGATTTGAGAGAGACTTAGGAGGCATCTTGATAGGCACTGGTGATGCATTGCACACAGTGGATAAGGGAGTGCAAGGTGCTAAGAAGGACTCCTAGGCTCTCGCTTGACCCCTGCAGGGATTGGGTTGCCCTTTCCTGAAACAGAATGTTGGGAGATGAGAAGGTCTGCAAGTGGAAGATTATGAATTAGTCTTTGGAAATATGAGTTCCTTTTAAAATTCTCTTTTCCTCCAACTTCCTTTACATTGCTTTTTTTGTTGTTGTTGTTTGTTGGTTTTTTTGTTTTTTTTCTTTGTCAGCTCCCATTTCTTTTTCTTGGCCACTGCCTCCCCCAACTTCCCACAAAGCATCTCTGTGTGCTTCCACTCCCATATCACCTAAATGTTGGTACTCTCCGTGGTTCTGACCAGAACCTTCGCCTCTTTAATCACGCTAACTCTGTGCTGTCCAATACAATGGTAATATATGGCTACTGGTCACTTGAAATGTGGCTCAGGCAAATTAGGATGTGCTATAAGTATTAAATACACATTGGATTTCAAAGACATAACATTAAAAATAATGAAAATTAAATAAGAAGATATTTTTTATATTGATTACTAGAGGCCCAGTGCACAAAATTCTTGCTCGGGGGGGGGGTTATCGGGGGGGGAGAGTCCCTCAGCCTTGCCTGCACCCTCTCACAGTCTGGGATCCTTCGAGGGATGTCTGCTGCTAGGTCCACTACCTGCGGGGATTGGGCCTAAGCTGGCAGTCAGACATCCCTCTCACAGTCTGGGATCCCTCTCTTCTTACCACCCACTTGCTCGCTGCTCCTGAGGGCTGCCCTGGAGGTGGGAGAGGCTCCTGCCACCACTGCTGCACTTGCCAGCTGTGAGCCCTGCTTCTGGCTAAGTGGTGCTCCCCCTATGGAAAGGCACTGACCACCTGCGTTGAGTGTCTGCCCCCTGGTGGTCAGTGCACATCATCGAGACTGGTCATTCTGGTCATTCTGCCTTAATGGTTGCTTAGCCTTATATATATATATATACTAAAAACCCAATGCAAGAAATTCATGCAAGAGACTCAACCCTCAAAACCCTGGCTGCCTTGGCCCTCGCAGCCCCAGCTTCATCTGGAAGGTCATCCAGACGGTTGTCTGGATGGTCATTCTGCTATTCAGTCAAATTAGCATATTAACTCTTTATTATATAGGATATAGACATGTTGAAAAGCTAATATTTTGGAAAGGTTGGGTTTAATAAAATATATTATTACTCTCTTATTGTGGCTTCTAGAACATTCAAAATCACATGTGAGGCCCACTTTGTGTTTTTAGTGACAGCATGGCTCCACTAGTGACCCTTTTATCACCTCATTCCTCTCCTCTTGAGACCACAAAAGTGCTTACTGCCCCCAGAACATTTTAAAGCATTTTATGTCTCATATGCTTTCCTTTTCCTGAACTTTTGTTCCTCTCCTTTCCTACCCGATAAGATATGACTTCTACTTCTTTGTTCAGAGCACATATCATCTCTACCAAATGAAATTGTCCTACTTCCTTAAGGCAGAATTAAACATTTCTGCCTTGGAGTCATACATGCTCTGTTAGTATCTTTATTATGCCTAATTTACATGCGTGTATCTTGTTTTATGTTCATTTTTCTGTCCAGCCAGATTGCAAGTGTCTGAAAAGTGCAGGTGTGATCTGATTTATGTCTGTAATTATGTAACTGGTACTCAGCATCAGTTTGGTGCACAAGGAAAGCCGAAAGAATAACAATTGAGTCTACACATATTAAACAGCTACCGTGTGATAGTTACGACTTAGATGTCTTACAGACAATATCTTAAATCCTCTCAATAGCCCTGTAAGGAAGATATAATTATCTTCATTTTGCATATGAGGATCTTATGAAAACTCGAACTGTTAGTAAATTATAGACCTAGGATTCAACTGCAGTGAATGACTCCAAAGCCATAGTTTCCCCTGTGGTTTCATACATGCTGAAAAATAGATTAGAAAGTGGAAATTGTATTCCTATACCATAATGTGAAAAAATAACCATTTCCTAGGGTTGTAAGAAGATTAAATGAAATAATATATATATATACTAGTAAAGTGTCAGAGTAGTACTTGGCAATAGCTGGTTTAATTAATGATTGGCTTACTTCAGTTTTGAGACCCAGAGTATAGAGTCCCTTAATTTCTGAGGAGGACCAAAGTGGTCTACCTAACTTCTGTGTTGCCTCTACACATGCTCACACACATTATGCTCATATGAAGGTCACGATAAACAGCCCCTCTGGGAACACAACTTTTACCCAGTACTCTTTGTACATGCCTCTGATGGTTAAAGAAAGTGAAGTAAAGAAATAATAAGTAATTCTTGGGGTATTCAATCTCTGTGTGTGTGTGTGTGTGTGTGTGTGTGTGAGTGTGTGTGTCCTTGTGTTTGTTGGTGAGGGTTGGGATAAGAATAATAGCAGAAAAGCAATCAAGTCGAGTCTTACTAGGGCTATATTACCTTGGCAAATTCCTACAAAATCATTCCGAGTAGAATGCCAACTCTTCTCTTCTTGCTCTGCCTCACCCAGCTATGGTGCTTTAAAATCAGGACCATTTTTTTAAGCACCTCAGGAATCTTTGTAGGAAAGGGAAGAGGGAAGTATAAAAAGGTAAATACTGGCCGGAACTGGTTTGGCTCAGTGGATAGAGCGTCAGTCTGCGGACTGAAAGGTCCCGGGTTCAATTCTGGTCAAGGGCATGTACCTTGGTTGCGGGCACATCCCCAGTTGGGGATGTGCAGGAGGCAGCTGGTCGATGTTTCTCTCTCATCGATGTTTCTAACTCTCTGTCCCTCTCATTTCCTCTCTGTGTAAAATCAATAAAATATATTTTAAAAAAAAGAAAAAGAAAAAAAAAAGAAAAGGTAAATACTGGTATTCATTGCAGAGAAATACCGGTCGCAGGTGCTATTATATATTGAAATTCTAGCTCCTAATGAATATCAATTGAATCTATACATATTAAACAGCCACCATATCACTGGTGAAGTGAAATGTGGATATACGTTCCTATGGGGCTGTCTGTGTTCAGGTAAGGGAAAACAATACCTTTGTAAGCTTCAGATCCTTGTAATTTTCCCCAAAAGGCAATATTAAGAGATTTCTATTGCTACTGATAGTTGACTAAGGCTAAAGGGGATCGTGGGCTGAAGAGTTAAGACAGTTATTCTCTTGATTCTCCTGATTTACACATTTCAAGGAAACAACTGAACCGATGCCTTGTGCAGAGCCAGAGGAAATTTTTGTTTGTTTTAGATCAAACATATAGGCAAGTACTAAGTATATAATATATAATATGTATTACATATATAATATTTAAGAACCTTCTGACCCATAACAGGTCCAAATAGGATAAAGGAACTTAGGACTTATTATTTTTTTTTTATCATTATCATTTTAGTGGTGTGTTTACTTCTCAAATTAGTCCTTTGAGTTGAGGGACTATGTCTTAAACATCTTCTTATTTACTTTGTTAGCCTCCACATAGCAAGTAATTGGTATTCATTTATTGATTAACAGAGTCACCATGTACAGTATAATTGCGAGGAGATTCCAACTTGGGTGCACAGCATGAGAAGTTGTAAGGAAAAGGTTCTTTGAAGTGAAAACTTGGATTCCTTAGGAAACAAAATCTTCTCTAGCAGCTAAATCAAACTTTAAGATTAAAGAGAAAAACTGCAGGTGTAGGGATAAATTTTAGTCTGATATTATATATAGAGAAATTCCATGGCCAAGAACATGTCAAAATAACAATGGCAATTGCCTGGCGGCTCCAGAAAATTTGATCAATATAGACAAATAAGCGCAACCTTGAATCTGAAAGTGGGAAATTGAAGTTGATTTGTCTGCCAGACTGACTTGTATTCAAAAGAATGAACAGAAGGTACTTTTAAATTCAACCCACTCAAATGCCAAAGTGTCAGAAACTCTCACAATCATCTGATTCTGAGGTAAGCTCTCTGGGACTGAGGTTTGTTGCTGGTGCATAGTATGAGCTTGATGTTCTCATTCAGTTCTATAAGGACTAAATTGGATGCCAGGCCTGCTACATGGTAGACAGCAATCATTGAAAATGCTCTGGCTTCTAGTAACAGACATCTTGACTAATAGTGAGTGACTTGAATCATAAACACTCTTTTTGTTGAGTAAACAGAATGGTTGAAGGTAGGTAGTCCAGGGTAGAATCAGCTGCTCAGTGAGGTTCTCTTTGAAGTTTTTTCTGCATCATCTTCATCATCTGAGAGACTTTTGCCTCCTGGCTATAGATAGCTAGTACAGCTCCACGTAGGGAAGAAGAGTCAGAGGAAAATGGTTTCTGTTTACATTCAGTAGGATCCCTACACTTGTCAGAACTCAGCCAAACGACCAACCTAGACTAACCAGGGGCAAAGGGAAATAAGATTCCAGACTTACATTGGACCAATTATCATTCATCCTACACCCCCGATGGCAAAGAATAGTTGCCCAAGAGCAGAGAGGATGGATATTGTGTAGAAAATAAAACATGTCTGCCGGAAACTTAATAAAGATTTATTGAATGTAAAAATGAGGCTGCATTATGACTTTCATAGATCCTAAAAACTGCTTTTGTGGGTTTTATCTCAGTAAAAATAGTGTTTTAGAACTGAGTTAACTTAAAGACACATAAAATCCAGACTGAAATAATTGTTATGTATTCATTCTTATGCTTAATTCTGATTTTATAAATAAAAATGGAAACATTTTGTTGGCCCTAAATCATGTTTCTACTATGCCCAGCGGATAATTCCCACCCTGGGTTTATGTTGTGTTTTCAACTGAATTAGAAACACTAGAGGGACGTGACTGTGAACTATGTGGCATAATTGCCCTCAAAGCCCCTATCACATCACTATGAATCTAAGAGCTGCTCAGCAAATATTGACTTGAGCTAACCACCATTTCTTCCTCTAGGGTGATCCAGGTCCTCCTGGTCCTTATGGTCCTCCGGGAGCCCCTGGGATTGGACAGCAAGGTATTAAGGTAAGGATCCTTGTCTCTTTGCTCACTGAGGATTTTTGAATTTATTGTAGGGGCTGGGGGAGCTGTGATTTATACTCTGCTCAGTCTTGCCCTCACAGGTGCCAGGAGACTACTTACAGAAGTTACAGTGTCCAGTCTGGATGCTTGGACACTGAGTGCTGTGGTCAGGGTCAGTTACCACAAGAACCATCAATGTATTTTGTTATTTGGTTGGAGGGAAAATTTGCTAATCTCCAAATACCCACTCTCTTGCCAGTGTACATCTTGTTTTGTTGATTTTTTTATGAACTTGAAATGTTAACATGCAAAATGTTACTTGGTTGTAAACTACCACCTGCTCACAGCAAATAAGCTGACAGGGACAGAAACCAGAAGAACCATGAGACCGAAAAGTATGTTGTCAGGAAGGTTAGCAGGGGACTAGAAGGGACTCGAACACTAGGTTAGTAGGGGACTAGAAAGGATTCTGTGTCTTCTGCATCCTGCAGGATTAATAGAGTTTATTTTAAATGGATTTTTTCTGTCATTGGGACAAAAAGACGCTGATGCAGGACTAAAACAGAGAGCAGTACAAAACAGTGCACTTTGAATGTAAAACAGTGTCACCATGGATGGCATGTACACAATAGCACTTGAGACGTCAGGGGAGATGGAGTTTATGTCAATGGAGTTATTGGAGAAGGGTTATAAAGGAGATCAAGTGTGAAATAGAACTGAGAGGAGAGGTGACATGGGGGAGAGTGGGGATGGGAGAGGGCAGCATGCCAGGACGGTGGGGAAGGGGTAGGAACAGCATGAGCATTGCCAGCGTGTCATCTCAGTCGCCAAAAGGCGTCACACACAGTGTATCCTTCCAATGGTTTCTGAAAGTGGAATGTGCCCTATTGCATTTAGACAAGAAGGAATGTTGAACATTTTAGGGTAATTTGTTCACTGAAATTCAAGCCAGTCCTCCTTCTCCAGATTATTTTTTATCTTTTTGAATGAGAAAAGTTTGACTGTTTTGCTATTTATCTTTGTTGAAATCTTGAGAGTATTTTGTGCTGTTTCTTCTTTATGTAAAAGCTCCAGCTTTTGTATGATTGTTTCTTTCTCTTAGGGGGAGAGAGGCCAGGAAGGAAGAACAGGAGCTCCAGGACCGATTGGTGTTGGTGAGCCAGGCCAGACAGTAAGTAGCCAGAAATTCTAGATGGAATAAGAAGGACAAATATAGTTCATATGTGCTCCCTCTGGCTAGGAAAATGGCTCAGTTAATCCAACTTGTATCTTTTGGACAAACAAATGATAGTAAATATGCAAGAACCAAATACAAGGCTCATTTTTCATAATTAAAATAGGGAAGCACGAGTACACACACGTGCGCGCACGTGCTCACTCCCACACACATATGCACATACATATAGGGTGGGGCAAAAGTAGGTTTACAGTAGTTCATATGGAAAATAATACAATGATCAATAAGTAAAAATACAAGAATAAGCTATTTTTGCATACTCAAACTGTAAACCTACTTTGCCCCACTCTGTATGTATATGATATGTACAACTGTTCTCTCTTACGGTAATAGCTTATACAAGATTAGTCAGCTTGTTCAAGAATTATGTGTCAAAATTTCCTAGGAGATACAAGAACTGGATTCAGGCCTAATGCCTTTAATTTACTTTCCTGGAACCATGAGAAACTCGCCCACCATGAGGACTTTGCTCATTACCTAATCTGTGAGTGTACTCTACAGCTGGTATGAAGGATGGTAGACAGGCCAGACCTGTGTTATTTGCAATCTCTGCCTCATGTAACTTTGTAGTTTCCTATTGTTGGAAAGGAAAAATAATACTTCTATCAAAAGAGATCTAAGGAGGAAATGAATAAAACATGGCCATTCTAGCATAAAAAGCTCCTTAACTTTTCAAGTAATCATTCCCCTAGAAAAGAACAGCCACTAGGGTACAAATGAAAACATGGCTGGTGTCCTAATTTGGTTTTGCATTGCATAGTTCCTCGTGTGTAAGTAGTAACAGAAACGTGCTTCTGGGCTGGAGGCTGTGAGTGGAATGGGAGCGTATTGTCTGAGGGCTAGGCTTTTCACTAATGTCTGTGTACACATGGAGGAAAGGTATACTGCACTGATTATCTAAAGACCAGTGGTCAAGTCTCAGTTTCTGCTAACTAGGTAGTGCCCTTAAAGGTAACCTCCCTTTAAGGGAGGTTAGAGAGAAGGAATCAGCTTTCTTGCAGACACTGCTGGTTCTTCACTGGAGAGGCTGCAAATGTAGAACACTGTAGGGCCATGGGCTAGAAAGACACAGGCCCATGTAGATCGCCATGTGTCCTGGGAGTACAGCAGAGAATCTGGGCTTAAAATTAGAACTGGGATAAACAAGAATTTTTTTCACAATAATCTGAATAAGTGGGAATAAAAATTAGCTACATAAACACTTTTTTAAACACTTTTTTAAAAAATGAGCTGCTAAAATATATCAGAGAAGGATTTAGTAAACTTCTACCAGATAGACAAATTTTAACATTTTGCTACACTTGCTTTAGATTTTCTTGCAAAGACAAAAAATATTATGGGTACAGTCAAGTTTACATAATCTTTTCCATAAAATAGAAGAAGAAAGAACACTTCCTAACTTATTTTACGAGGCCAATTTTCACCCAATACCAACACAAGACAATGACAATACATAAAAAAGGAAGCTATAGAACAATATCCCTCAGGAATATAGACACAAACATCCTAACAAAACATTGATAAGTAGAATTCTGCAATATATAAAAAGAATTCTCCAGCAGCATCATATGGGGTTCATTCCTGGATGCAAGACTGATTTAATAATTGAAAAATAATCATTATAATACATTGTACTAATAGGCTAAAGATTACATGATCATATAAAAAAAAGAAATAGGAAAACATTCAATAAAATTTTAAATTCAAAACCCTCATATGTCCTGATGAAAACTCTCAGAAACTAGGAGTAAAAGTGAATGTATGCTCTACAAAAAAAACTACAGCTAACATATATTTAATGGTGAAATGGTAAAACCAAAAACAAGAGAAAAATTTCTGCTTTCACCAATCTTATTCAGAAGTCCTAGCTAGAACAACAGGCAAGAAGAGGAAATAAAAGGCATGGATTTCAAAAAGAACTAAAGCTAGTCCCTATTTGCAGATGACATTATGCTCTTCATAGACAATCCCCAGAAATCTATACCAAACATCCTAGAACTAATAATTGAACTAATAATTGAGGTCATGGGATATGAGCTGAACATACAAAATCAATTTTATTACTCTATTCTAGTAACAAATACAGAAACTACCAGCTTTAATTTTTGATTACCACTTGTTTTATGCTGGTCTCAGTGATGACTGATTCATGAAAGATAAATTGGTTCAGAATTTCAGGTGACCTGTTTGTTTTATGTGTAAGGTTATTTCAAGTGCTATCAGTAAAAGATAAATACTCCCTGAAGTAGAACTATAATTACTTTGAAGTTAAAAATAAAGTACATGGCATGTGTGACTAGTATAGACAATTGTTATTATTTAACATTATCTTTAATGCTTGCAATGTATATTATAACCACTTTGTTGATTGTCCACACTATTTAGATTAAGGAAAGTAAGAAAATAATAGATCTTGCTAATGTCTCAAAGCATTTCACTGACCAGATTGTGTTAACCAATAATTATGTTCCTCCATTATATATTTTCATTAGACACCAAATAAGTATGCCACAGTTGTAATTGATTTTCATGGCCTTTTAAAAGGATACTGAGCATTTCTGTCCTTTAAAAATGATCCATTGGTGCTGTCTTAATAAATTTAAAATATAGTTAATCTAACCCAGTAGCTGCTCTTTCTTGTCTGAGGTTAACAATCATCTCCTGTCCTGGCAGCTCCACTAGAAAATGTGGTGTGGAATACTACCCTGACAGTCTGCAGTAACTGAACCTTGGTTCTCTATATTTTTAAAGGCTCCTAAGTGATTGCTCACCAGCATTCACTTTCTTTTCTCAGCAGTTTGGAACACATGGCTCCTAAAAGCAGCCATTGTGTTCACTTCCACCTTAGCTGATGTATTATATTCTAGAAATGCAGAGTTGAAGGGCCCACGTTTGTTCTGGGCAGCATGCTTCTCTGGATACTTAATGTCACCCATTCACACTGAGACTACCTTCTTTGTCAATGTGTCCCTAAAAGGACAGCCTTAGCAACTGCAGGACTCAAGTAAAATCATCTTGATAGTGCTAGCAGATATTTATTGAGTGCTTCATTTGTGAAAGCTTTAAATCTGTCTGATGTAGTCCTGACCGTATGCTGAGGTTGAGGTAGGTACAGTTGCTACCACTGTTGGGATGAGTTTGCTGAGCTCTAGAGAGAGGAACGTATGTGTGTAAGGTCACACTGCCAATACTGTGCAGCAGAGCTGGCACTTGAACTTCAGTCCAAAGGCCACCAGAATCTGCTTTTAATTATCATGCAAGACTCTAAACTCCAGGAGACAGAAAGCAAGTTGGTTTGCTCTTCTTAGAACCTAGCATGGAGCCTCGCACTTGTTAGATATTTGTTGAATGAAAAAAAAAAAGGGGGGGGGGAGATAAACTAGAAAATAGACTTATTAGTATTTAATGTACATTGTGTTATTTTTATATGTCATATCATTGGGGGAAATTATTGGTCAATATATTTTCTTGTTATAGTGTTGATGTTAGTTTACAATCCAGTTTTCATGTCATATTTATTTTCCCCTGGTGAATGGCTCTAATATTAGGACAATCTGTCATGAATATTAATGCTTTGCTTAAGGGTTTGGATTGTTAAAAACTAGATTTTCCCATAAACATAGTCATTTACATGGAATTAAATGTTAGCTTTTTTATTTTAATTAAAGTTTTTAATTATTGGCTATGCATAAATACTAAAGAAGACTGTCCTTTTAAAAACATATACGAGGGCAGAAAACACCCCAGCCAGTGTGGCTCAGGGGTCAAAAGTTGACCCATGAACCAGGAGAACATGGTTGAATTCCCAGTCAGGACATATGCCCCAGTTGCAAGCTTGATCCCCAATGTGGGGTGTATAGGAGGCAGCCGATCAATGATTCTCTCTCTTCCTCTCTCCCTCTCCCCATCTCCCTTCCTCTCTGAAATTAATAAAAATATATTTTAAAACAAGAAAAACAAACACTGGTATACAGTTTTTATAAGCTTTGCTGTAAGCTTTTTTTCTCACAAATCCATAATGGTGCTCAGTCATGATTAGCATAATGCTCCATCCTGATTCTGCTTCCAGGCTTGACCAGAAAGCATCTCTTAAATGACCCTGGATGACTGCGTATCCAGCCCAAGGTCACTCAGAGGAGCTCTTATTCTGTCTCAGGTTTACTTCCCTGGCTAGTGAGCCCTCATTACCTTTTTAGAGTCAAGACCCATTCAAAGGAAAGCTCCAGTTTATGCTTTTAAGATTCCTGTTGTTAGTCCCTGTTCTACTTTTTGGCCTGCTGGCCAAGAAGATTTAGTGGGAAAATATGTAGCCTTTTAAAATTTCTGGTGTTTAAGTGGAACATTACTGTTTATTATTATTATTATTATTATTATTATTATTCCGAGAGTACCTTTCTAGTCAGTCCACTTCAATGCCTGAAACTGTCGTTTTTCTATCCTTATGTGAGAAGTTCTCACCTTTCCTAATGCCATTCTGAGCAACTGTCACGTAGACTTCTTAATTTTAATCACTGAGATTGAAAATCATGCTTCCCTTGATCCAGGTTTCTACATACACATAAATCTCCAGTGGGTTCAACGAGTTCTTGAAAGATTTCAAGTTTGAGTCCAAATTTATGAGGATAGAAATTAAAACACATGTACACAGAATTCAGTATTTTAACCAGCTGTCGGTGATTTCTTCATAGCCCACCCCCCCCCACGTCCCATAATTCAACTCTGAAATTACTCTGCCTCCATCTCCAGCCATGCAGTCCCCGAAGTTAGCCTTTCCTCATAAGGTTTATTTTCTGTACCTTATTCTGACACATCAGTTAATTTCCATTTCCCACTAATTTGAGGATACCAGAAAAGACAATTATATGCCAATCAAGTGGAACAAGTATTTTTTTAAAATATATTTTATTGATTTTTTTTACAGAGAGGAAAGGAGAGGGAAAGAGAGCTAGAAACATCGATGAGAGAGAAACATCGACCAGCTGCCTCCTACACACCCCCTACCAGGGATGTGCCCACAACCAAGATACATGCCCTTGACCGGAATCAAACCTGGGACCTTTTAGTCCACAGACTGACACTCTATCCACTGAGCCAAACTGGTTTTGGCGGAACAAGTATTTAATACAATGGGAATATTATTCTTCACACCTCTATAATTCTCCTGATTACTATGAAGCTTACTAAAAGGGTTCTTACTAATGACTTCAATAGGACTATAACATGCCTATGTGAACTGAAATATAACCATTTTCTTTTCCTTCCTCTCCTACCTTCCTTTCCCCTCCTCCCATTATCCTTTCTCTCTTCTTTATTCTTCATTCCCTTTTATCCCAACCAGGGTCCCCGTGGTCCCGAGGGAGTGCCGGGAGAGAGGGGCTTACCGGGAGAAGGCTTCCCAGGACCAAAGGTAACAATACCTTCTGTACTAGGAAAAGTGCTTTGTCTCGCATGGTCATGAATTACAAATTTTAAAAACTGTGTCCCATTATCAGAAGTCAAGTATTTTCTTGTTATAGTGTGTGACCAACTTCACCCGATTAAATAAAGGAATATGTAAATTTCCCCTTTTTATGAAACGACAGCAAATTTTGCAATCATAAATGAGACGTTGACAGATTTCTTTATATAATTATTGCATGTGAAATTAAAATAAAACCTCTTGGACTGGAGTCATTAAAACACCGTGATAGCCTCTTTATGCCTGGTAGGTGAGTTACAGTGTGTAGTTATGCAAAGCTTTATTCTCAGCTTTGTTTTGTGAAACACAGATAAGAAACCAATTTGTAATAGCATTGCCTTTAGTATAATAAAAAAGAAATTAGCTTATTGCTATAAGGAGCAAAATGGTACGAAAGACCAATCTTTTACCTGGCAATTGAGAATTTAAACATCTCCACTGCTTCCCATATATAATTCTTGGAACTCAAGTTCCTCTAGACAAGGGGTTAGCAAACTTTTTCTTTCAAGACCAGGCAGTGAATGTTTTAGGCTTTATGAACCATATGGTATCTGTTGCAACTACTTAACTCTGCTGTTGTAGCATGCAGGCAGCCATAAACAATATAGTTTAAATGAATGAGTGTGGCTGGATTCCAGTAAAGCTATATTTTACAAAACACAGGCAGAGAGCTGGAGTTGGCCATTGGGCTTCAGTTTGCTGACCTCTTGTCTAGGCTGTTTACTTAAAATCTATGGCACCTTTGCCAAAAGCCACATGGGAAATTATTTTCCAAATACTTTGGGTAACATCAACAAAATTTCAGAGTGAGTAAGGATAAATTTTGAAGTATTTTTCCTTCTTTTCTAAAGCATTTCCCCCAAGCACATGTGCATGCATACACACACTGCCCACAGAGAAACAAACACTCTTTTCTATGTGACTAAGACCTTCCATGGTATTTAGTCAGGTCCCTAAATTTTGAACTTCTTAGTATAGCTGCACGCTCTAAAACTACAACTCATTCTTAGCCTCTCCCGACATGATCAATATTCAATGACCTTTGAGGAAACCATATCTCAGCTAGAGTGAGAATAATTAGCTACAACAAGTAATTCATACTAAGTTTTGGGTTGAATTTTCAGAGAGGCCCATTTTAACTAACACATTTAACTTGTCATAATAAATGAAAATGATATGTTAGATAAAGGGGGCTTCAGTAATGCTCTTGACTAACCAAAATGTCATTATTAGATATAGAGGCTGGCAATTTAGCACTACATTTCAAAATAATTTATAATACATAGTTTGTTGAATTATATATAGTAAATTTTTATATATGAGTAGCCCAAACAACCTGGAAAATTTAAATAGCCAGAATTACTTTTTTTATAATCTGTTTTGTCTTTTGTTTGTTTGTTTTTTACTACCTTTATATATAAAATATACAAAGGATATTTTCCTGTTTTCTACATTTTTTGCAAATGTCCTTTGATTTTACTCACAATTCATATAAATTCATCAGATAAATACTATTTTTTATTGCTTATATAGTTTATTTTTCATACCAATGCAGTGTGATGACTTCATTGATATTACGTTACATAGGTCATATGATTAAATACAAGAAGATTTTACATTAATTATCTTAAAACTAAATTTTCAATGAATGTGTATAAATTCTAAGACATTTAATAAATAACCATAGCCAGTATTAGTTCATATACTAATGTGAGGGACACATTTCCATTGTGTAATAGGCATAGTTGCAGCATTTTTGAGGAGACGGAGGACTGACTCAGTGCAATGTACTCTGTGACTGATTAGGTCCTCATCCCCAAATATTTCTGACTATTTTGGGAATAGAGCTCTTTTCCAACGTTAGCGATAATTCATATGGGTTCTGCTTGGACAGAGTACTTCCTATATAAGAGTTAAGACTAATTTTTTTTGAAAGTTACAAATCTTGGTGTCAGAATTACCCATTTTCAGTGAGCTGTAAATTTGGTTGCTTTGAATGCTTTAATGTTTTATTAGTGCACTGATGTCTCTCTCATATATTTTCAGGGTGAAAAAGGTTCTGAAGGTCCAATTGGCCCACAAGGACTACAAGGCCTGTCGATCAAAGGGGACAAGGTAACATATATAGGATATGGGAAGGAAGATATGCCAGTAAAATTATTTTTAAAATTTTTCATTAATGAATGAACTGTATACAACCTGACAACCACATCACACAGGTGTCAACTTAGTTGTAAATCAAGTATATGCAAGGTATATTATTGTAGGGATGAATTATTATCTGGAAATTCCCATATTATATGTTTATAGTAATGTCCTATTTATTTGGGTTCTGACTTCCAGTATCCCTGTCGTCAGCCAAGCAGCTTTGAAGCTAAACATTAGCAGAATAGACCTCTACTTTATAAAGAAAATAGCTGTTGAAACATGACTTGACCTCATTACAGAAGCAATATCCACCCTTAGGCATCCACAAAAAAATATTACCTTAAAAGGAGTCTGAAAGAAGATAACTCATTTAAGAAAACTAGCATTGATGTCCTCCAGCAAGGACCAATAGGAACCCACCTATAATTGAACAAATTTAGCTTTATTGACTCTGCTGTGAAAGAGGACACATACCATGGGACCTGATCACAACTCAGTAAGATGAGAGGTTTCTTTTCATAGAATTTGGGCTCATATATTAGGTAGCTTGGGTTAGTGTCTAAGAAAGTATGGCTTGACTCTGAGCTGGAAGCTCTCAGGAAGTGGGGGTAATTTTAAGTTTGGGCATTTTAACGAATCTTAACTAGGAGAGAAAGATGGAGCCAGGCTACTGCAACTGGTAAAGAAGTAGCAGCTACTCATTTTAGTCAGTTTAGGAGAATGTTTGACCCCTTTTGAGGAATTTGGACATTGTTTATTTTTGTTTCTGTCTGTGCTCAGACAGGACTATGGAGAGGTTTTGCTTCACCACACAGAATGGCCATGTCTGACACTGGTGTTCTGGAAAGTTATGCTCAACACTACAGCCTACCTGCCATTGCTTTCTTCTTTCTCACTAGTTCCTTGTTTTCTTTAAAATAGCTACAAATTATATCCAGAATAGAAGTAGGGGTGAGGCCAGTGATAGAAGCTACTGGAGGCTGATAAGGCCCTAAATTCTAGTGGGAAGGGATGATGCCAGAGGATGAGAGATATAAAAATACACAAGAAACAGAGACCTCATATCAATTTGGAGTCATTTACCATATATGTCAACCTCTAATCATATCATTATATTATATATTATATTAGAATAATGATTGATATTCAAGATTATCTTAAGTGTGTTTTAATCTTGAAGTACTTATTTCTTTTTTTTTAATATATATTTTATTGATTTTTTACAGAGAGGAGGAGAGAGGGATAGAGAGCTAGAAATGTCGATGAGAGAGAAACATCAACCAGCTGCCTCTTGCACACCCCCTGCTGGGGATGTGCCTGCAACCAATGTACATGCCCTTGACGGGAATGGAACCTGGGACCTTTCAGTCCGCAGACGGACGCTCTACCACTGAGCCAAACCGGTTTCGGCTGAAGTACTTATTTCTTTTATTTACTACCGGTAGCCATCTCTTCTGTAAATCTGTGTTTAAATAGCAGAGGTAGTGGGAAATAGTGAGTTATATAGATTTTAGATACAGTACAATTCTTGGTTGTAACTTCAGCTCCAAAATACTCTAAAAATATATAAGATGTTCTTTCTTCCTTTGGAGCAGTGAAAATTGAGTACAATAGGATACTAATTTTTTATGAGTTCAGTAAATTAACTTTCTTAGGTTTTATTGACATTGCATTTTTAATTTTACACCTGGAGCTCATGCAAAGAAAACACATGGAAATATCAGGACATTATCTATCACAGAGTAATTGCAAAGCCATCATCTGCTATTCTCTTACCATATCAAACCATCTTCCTTTTATCTCCACTCTTTCTTCCTTTTCTATTCTTTTATATATATTAGATTCAGAGACTTGGTGCCTCTGTTTCAAATGATAAGATAAATGCCTCTATGTTAAGTGCTCTCAAATATATAAATTGGTAAAAAACAAGGAAGTAGTTTTGATATAGGTATTCAAGTGTATATCGCAATGCACAGAAGAGGGTCTGTCTTTTGGGTATACTGAATATTTGCAGAATAGTGGTTATGAGTTAGATTTTATAGTCAGAGAGAGTAGACTTGAATCTTGCTGCTGAATGGTGTGTACTTAACCTCTTCAAGAAAATGGGGATGCCTACCTTCAAAATGAAAGGCATTCAACGCAATGCCTGCTACATGACAAGCAACTGAGTTATGAATCAGAATAATGCAGTTCTGAATTAGAACTGAACTCCATTACATTTTCCTTCCAGCATACTTATTTAGACTTGGATCGATACAGAGTGAAACACTGAGAAGCATATCCCAGGGCATGTTTTAGTGACAGATTCAACAGATTTTGTAATATTATATACAGTTTAATCTAGTGATATATTTTTGTTCATAAAAATATATTTATTTAGCCCAGCATTGCTAGTTAAATGTGGAGCTCGCTGCCTGTTTTTGTAAATAAAGTGTTATTAGAACACAGATATACCTTTTCATTTATGTGTCATCTATGGCTTTCACACTACCCAAGCAGTATTCATTAGTCATGAAAGAGACCTTATTATGCCCTCACACATAAAATATTTGTTGAAAGATACAAAGGATGGATGAATGATATTCTTCTTCATGATAACATTTATTTTGTTTCCCAAATTTATTTCATGGAGGGGAGAGGTAAGGTTCTTTAATTTTGTTGCATTTAACTTAGAAAATTTCTTAATTTTCAAAATGCATTTTAATAAGATTAAGCGGGAAAAGGTATTTAGAGAAATTTACAATATTTTGCTTCAATTTATTTCTCAGAGCCTGTGTTCCTTGAACTCTATGAATTTTATACTTTTAAATATTTCTGTTATGAGCCTAACAGAAAGTGCTTGTGTCAATATAATAACCATTCAGGAACTTTTGATTCTTGTGAGAGGAAAAAAAAAAAAAAAGACTGATAAATGATAAATATAAACTGGTGCAAATTCTCACCAATTCAGACTAAAGAGTAAAACATAATTAACTATTTTGGCAAATTTGAACTAAACTGTTTAAAAAGAGTTTGCTAACTTTCCATGTTAAACTTTTTTTAAGGATATAAAAATATATTTTAATCCAACATAATTCCAAAGTATTGAAAGTATCGATATGAAAGAATGAAGTTTCATTTTATTATAATATTTCTGATTTGTTTTCTCTACAGGGGGACTTGGGACCCGTGGGACCCCAAGGACCAATGGGCATTCCCGGAATTGGGAGTCAAGGGGAACAGGTAAACAATGCTTTTGCCCTTCTCTAGCCCAATGCTGGAGTTTGTCGAAGGCCAGTCCTGCAAACGCCAATGAAAGTTAAATTGCAATAAAATTCACATCTAAAGTGAATATAGGGAAGGATAAGCTTGTTTGTAAGATCTTATTTAGTAGAACTTCCTAAACTTAAGAAATAGTGAATTTCTTGATGCTGTAACCTTTAACCTTAAAACCGAATTAATAGGATAAGAGTTTTGGGGTAATAGTTTGTATTTTCAGTATCCCTTGGGAGCAATAATTTATTTACCTGTTGCTTTGTATATTTATTCTCTCCCTACCCCACCCCCCTTGCAGCTTTGTGAGTGATTAAATCGCACTCTCTCCCAATGCTAGTACTATAGTACTTCCACCCCCTAGCCATGAACCAATCTGAAAAAAATGTTAAATTTAAAACAAAGTCCAGAATCAGAGGTAGCTACTTGATTTAAAGGGCACAAGCCATAGAGTTTATAAATGACAGTTGGCCTCTGTTAGTCAGAAGAAAAGATCTCTTAGCTCGTCTTTCCATTCATGACTAAAATTGCTTCCAAAATCTTCTGACCAGGCCACTGGGAAAGCTGGATAATCTTGGTAGATCTGAATAATATGAAGATAATATAACAGTCCTATCTAGGGTTCTTGTTGACCATACACTTTTACCTACATTATCTCATTTAATTAAGTAACCAATATACCCAAATTTATGCTGAATACCCTTCTGCTAAGAAGAAGAAGAAGAAGAAGAAGAAGAAGAAGAAGGAGGAGGAGGAGGAGGAGGAGGAGGAGGAGGAGGAGGAGGAGGAGGAGGCCGCAAATCAGTTTGGTTAAAATTTAGAGTTAAGGTTTGAATTATTCTACTGCCTAGAGAATGAATAGTACTTCTTTTATCTAGGATAGTGGGAGAAGAAAAGAATTTTTAAAATGAGATAATTCCGAAGTTTCTTGCTGACATTAATTGAGTTATTTCTGTCCTCTAATTATTGAGTATGTATGTTTATTGTTGCTAATCCAAGCAACAGCAAAATTGGACTTACTTCTTTTTCCATTTCCTTTTCCTTGGTAGAGGTCCTAGTGTAGTACATTAGGAGTGTTAAGGTGCAAGAGAAGCCAAGATAAGTCCGTAAATAAATGTTTAGAAAATAATGAAGAGCTGTACATTTTGCCTACATTGGAGTTGACTATGTGACCAGGCATTCTCCAGCTTTGTAGTTTATTTGTTTACCTTCTAATCCCAAAAGTGGCTGGACAGTGCTGCCACATCCTGGGTCTCCTGGAGCTCCTGGTGCTGAGTCACCACCATCAGGCTGAAAAATGAGGTTCAAAGAAAGAAAGCCAAGTCTTTCCAGATGGCCTGGGAGTTCTGGACCTCCCACCTGCAGCTTCCTGTTGCCTTTCATATTGGTTCTTCCTGGAGGTTGTTTTCCTTTATCTTAAAAAAGCCCTCAGACCTCCTTGACCCCTTTGGTTTTCTATCCCCTTCTGTTCTTTTCCAAGAGAAAACAATTTTAAAGGTAGACAGATCCACCTGGAGCTGAGCCCTACTGGGTAGGTGACGGAATAGAATGTGCTATTTGAAAATTGCTCTGAGCAAGAAACAAATTTGTTTATCCTTTGAAGACAAGCGATCTAAACTCTACTTGAATTTTAATCTTAATTCATGCAGTTATTCATTCTTCTTCTTATCCAAAATTTAACATGTTTATCCATTGAATTCCTGTAATTAATAGATCTTTCTCTTATTCTTATAGAAATGAATTTTCCCATGCATCTGTTTATGAGGGAGCTTCTGTTTCCATTTCCAGCAACTAGCATAAGATATCCCTGCAGATTTTCATTAAACATTTGCAGACTTGACAATATCAAATCTTTTATAAAATAGAGTAGAATCTAAATAACCATATATACATGTGTATGCACATATAGGCACATCCCCTGGAAATGTTTGGTTCCTTGTCCCATTGCATGCGACGTGTGGACTACTGAAAAAGTGAAGAATTCCTTCTTATAAAAGCTCAATATTTTAAAACTTGGCTTTCTTAAATTGTTTAAACTTTTTCATCTTCATCAACCAGAGAAAGAGAATACTAATTGTACTTTTTAATAAAATAAGCAAGCAGTTGTATGATATAGATAGAAAAAGGACAAAAATTTTGCAATAAAATAATATTTCTGTAACCATTATATGCCCTGGCATGGTTTGTGGGGTGCAAGCAAAACAAAAATCTTGGTTTTCTCTCTCATCATCCCTTTAAACTTTTTTTTTTTCATTAGGGGAAGATTTTTCTTTGTTGTAGTACAGAAAGAAATGATCACCAGACTATAGACTTGTCTTATCACTTTTAAGTTAATAGAAAGGTTTAGGGCCACTCTAAGTTACAAATCACAGTTTTAACTGTATAATGAAAACTGTCTTGTCGATGTATAAATCTTCCTTCCAATCTTTCCCCCTCTGGTATGAGCTGCATGGAGAACCTGTGGCCCATGGGAAGGTCTGTGCCTCTCCTCCCTCCTGGCTGAGTCAAGCCTGGAGGAAAGGATGAGTACAGAAATTGTCTTGACTGCTCCATAGTCAGATGGCTTTGGGTCCTCTGCTCTTGGCAGATTTTGATTTCGACACTCTTTCTCGTGGGGATCAGGCACTGGCCCCTGCCTTTGCCCCTCTCTTCCTCCAGCGATTTCTCCCATCAATCTCTGCTCTTCTGGAGGTTTACTCTATACCAACTCTTTCTGTTGGAGTTCCATTACCCTTCCAGACCCTCTTGGACAGGACTCTGGTCCACAGGAAAAACTCACGTGGCCTTTGAACAAGCCCTGATGCTCGAGCTGATCCCACATCAGCTCTTTCTGGGCTGTCACAGTCCACATTAGCTTTCTTAGACATGAGTCACCTTTTTTTGTTGTTTAAAAAAAATATCAAGATCTTCAAGTGGTTTTGTTGAAGTTCCCTTTCTATTATAGAATGGGGTACCGAACAAAGCAACTTAAACCCCTCACATCTTCTTCAAAGAAAAAATGTTATGACTTCTTTCTCCAAAGAACTTTTAAACGCTGTCTCCTTCCCCCTTTTAGTGTTGTCCTCACCTACAACATGGGTGAGAGTCAAATGTTTGAACATGCATCAGTTTAGTGTCTGCTGCCTATCGCTTCTTACAACCTAGGTCAGTGGTCGGCAGGTTCTAAAGCCACTTCTTCAAAATAGACTATCCCAGGCTGAAAACCAACTTCTGCGCATGGGCCACGGAGTTTCAATTGTACTGCATGTGTGTGCCGGGTGTTTTGTGGAAGAGTCACACTCAAGGTGCCAAAGAGCCGCATGTGGCTCGCAAGCCTCGGTTTGCCAACCACTGACCTAGGTCAAACCTTCATTTTAACATCTTGATATATACCAATGGTAAGCTGGTTTGCTAGCATGTGACTGAGGTGTGTAATGGGTTAACAAGATGAAGAGTTATTTCTCTTCTTTAGAACTTCAAGCTGGAGTGGTGGCTCTGTCATCAGGGCTTCAGGCTTCTTCATTATTGTCCCTCTGCCCTTCTGAGGGTGCGCTTTCTTCCTCTACAGGAAAAATACCATGTCTTCACTTCATCCACTGGAAAGTGTGTGTAGGGGAGGAGGAGGCATACTTCTACCTTTAGCATGGACTGGAAATTACACATCACTTCCATTCCTATTCCATTGGCCAGAACCCAGTCACATCGCAACACCTGGCTGCGATGGGGACTGGGAAATGTGGTCTTTATTCCAGGCAGCCATGTGGGCCAGCTGAAATTTCTCTTACCGTGGGAGAAGGGGAGAATGCATTTCATGATTCCACTAGCAGCCTCTGCTATCCCATTCAACTATGATAATATTGATTATTAGTAATTCATTATGGGACATGAACTAAACTCACTTTAGAGGATTGGAAACTTTTATTCACATTTCTTCTTAATTTCTCTAATACTATTAAATTTTTTATTTTAAAGGGAATCCAAGGCCTTATTGGTCCCCCTGGTCCTCAAGGACCCCCAGGACAGGGCTCACCTGGTTCCAAGGTAACTTTCTCAACGATAAAGGAGTTCCATATGTCTATAAATATACTGGCTGTTTTCTGGGCAGTGGTCAGGCATTTGGAAGACTGCAGATGAAATGAACTTAAAAATCAGAGATCTTTACTTAATGTAAAATCTAACTGATATCCTAATGGTGTAGAAAATGTAATATATATTCCTTGTGCTCTTAGAAGCTTTATTTAAACAATCTTCATTTATTATTTTCTTTATTACTTTTACTATTCTAGCATCTCAAGCAGTAATATCAGTAGGAACTACCTGTGGTTTCATGCCTCTTTGGACTGACTCATTTTTATTCTCACCGGCACTTCCACAGTAGGTCCAACTGCTAAAACATTTTCTTAAAGATATAGAGACAGAAATGACCCAACAAATAAACATTTTCTATTAACAGGAATCAGATTATCTCCTAAATTAGAACTATTATTTATTCCTTGGGGGAGTGGCATGACACCTATTTCTAATTAGCTGTCCTTAACGTTGCTTAAAAAAATCATTAATCATTGTTAAATAAATAAAATACTTCTCTGAGAAGTCTCACCTTCAAGCCCACTCCTTAGCGATGCCCATGTGAAAAGCAGCTTAATAGACTGTTACTGTCCTTGAGATGCCTGATTCCAGGCACATCATCGGAAGAGCAGGTTGTTCTCTCTGGTTATGATACTGCTTTTGATCATCGGTCATCTTGATTTCTCATGTGTCAATTTTAGTTGTTCTAGAATATAACTATCATTTCCAGGGAATCTATGGGGGTGGGGGGGCGGGGGTTCTTACAATCAATTTTGAGTGTATTACATAGCCTATAGTACTTTAAGCCAGATCATTCCACATTCCAAATGTGGGGTAGGGGTGGGGTGAAGTATATATATGAATTGAGCACATGAAGCTCAGTGTTCTCTTATTTTGTTGATATAAGACAACTCTTAGGAGATCAAAGAAGGAATATGTTATTTTTATTTTGCTGCCTTGGTCAAATACTCTTCAAATACTCTTTCCTCCTTAGGGAGAAGTAGGCCAGATAGGACCTCCAGGCCCTAGAGGACCAGTGGGGATTGGAGTACCAGGTCCAAAGGTGAGTTGACCATGCTGCTCAGAAGCATTTAGATGATTTATGTGATATTATGTAAAGTTCCATTTATATCCAAATGAAATACAGATCATGCATGTGTCATCTAACTGTCCCTTTACCAGTGTAGAGTGTTTATTTAGAAAAGGGTCTGATGCTCAGTATAACACTTATTGTTAAAGAAAAACAAAAATTGGTCTATTTTAATGACTACTACTTGTTTACTTATTTGCTTATTCATTTATTAGCACCACAGGCTCTATTTTAACATGGAGTGGTTCTTTAGAACAGTGGTCGGCAAACTCATTAGTCAACAGAGCCAAATATCAACAGTACGATTGAAAATTCTTTTCAGAGCAAATTTTTTTAAACTTAAACTTCTTCTAATGCCACATCTTCAAAATAGACTTGCCCAGGCCGTGGTATTTTGTGGAAGAGTCACACTCAAGGGGCCAAAGAGCAGCATGTGGCTTGCGAGCCACTGTTTGCTGACCACTGCTTTAGAACTTTATCGCCTGCCATATTATAAAACAAAGCATCTAGTAGTTAAGATTTCAGTAAAGCCTACTTCCCTTCCTTTGTTTTATTGTTTTGTAAGCAATCCATTCCCTAAATCTAAAGTGTGTCCAGCCCACTTCTGTTACCCAGTAATTTTATATGTCAACATGCTATTTGTTTCCCTTGCTTATCTCAACTTGCATGTTTTTTTTTGTTTGTTTGTTTTTGTTTTTAATTTGGGTGATCCTTGAACAATGTGGAACATAAGGGTGTAGATTCCCTCCAACAACTTTTGACTTCCCCTAAAGCAAGTTGTCCCTTGGTATCTGTGGGGATATTGGTTCCAAGACCTCCATAGACATCACATTTTTGGAGACTTAGTGCCTTACATAAAATGGCATAGAAGAATGCCTACAGTTGGCTGTCCACATAAACGAATTCCCAATCATAGAATAATTTCACTGTACTTTTTTCCAGTAGCTTTTTAAGCTTGGTTTAGTTGAAATTCCTCTCAATTTTCTTTAATATATTTTGCTTATAATAAATGCAATAAGGACAATTTTATACTTTTTGAAGGTAGCATGTATTTTCTCTGAATATATTAAAGAACTTATTCTTAATCATAAGTTAACTTGAAAGCAAATAGAATTGTTGAGCATTAGAGCTAGAAGTGATGTTAAGTCCCCAGTTTTTTCACGTCACTTTTATATTCATTTCTCAGGATTGCTGTAACGAAGTACCACAAACTGTGTGGCTTAATACAATAGGAATTTATTGTCTCATAGTTCTGGGGACAATAAATAGAAAAATCAAAGTGTGTGCAGGGCCATGCCTCCTTCAAAACCTGTAGGAAAGAATCCTTCTTTGCTGCTTCTTAGCTTGTAGTGGCCAATTCTGGCATTCCTTGGCTTGCAGCTACATCACTCTAATCTTTGCCTCTGTTGCCACACGGTATTCTCTCTATGCGTCTATCTTCACATGGTGTTTTCCTCTTTTTATTTATTTTTTATTTTTTAAAATATATTTTATTGATTTTATACAGAGAGGAAGGGAGAGAGATAGGGAGTCAGAAACATCAATGAGAGAGAGTCATCGATCAGCTGCCTCTTGCACACCCCCTACCGGGGATATGCCTGCAACCAAGGTACATGCCCTTGACCGGAATCGAACCCGGGACCTTTCAGTCCCCAAGCCGACGCTCTATCCATTGAGCCAAACCGGTCCCGGCTGTTTTCCTCTTTTTTTTTTTTTTCTTTTTTTTTTTTCATATTTTATTGATTTTTTGTTTTCCTCTTTTTATAAGAACACCAGTCATACTGGATTAGGGCCCACTCTAATGACCTCATCTTAACTTGATTGCATCTGGAAAGACCCCATTTCTTTCTTTTTTTTGTTAAATATATTTTGTACAGAGAGGAAGGGAGAGAGATACAGAGTTAGAAACATCAGTGAGCGAGAGTCATCGATCAGCTGCCTCTTGCACACTCCCTACTGGGGATATGCCCGCAACCAAGGTACATGCCCTTGACCGGAATCGAACCCGGGTCCTTCAGTCCCCAAGCCGACATTCTATCCATTGAGCCAAACCGGTTTCGGCGAAAGACCCTATTTCTGGAAAAGGTCATATTCACAAGTACCATGGGTTAGGACTTCAATGTATCTTTTTTTGGGATCAATTCAACCCATAACAAACAACATAATCCAAAACTGAGATCCAGAGAGGTTAAATAATTTGTCCAAGGTCAAATAGTTTGATTACTAGTAATTACTATTTAGATTTCTCAGCTTAGAGGCTTTTCTCAGACACTATAAGCTATATCTAATTGCAAGTGCTGCAAAATGGGGGTGCATGATAACATGAACTTCTGGGAAATAAAATCTTTGCTTATCCACCAGGGGGCGCCAGGCTCAATAGGGCTCCCAGGACAGCCCGGCATTCCAGGGGAAGATGGAGCTGCAGGGAAGAAGGTAACTATGTTTCCATACTCCCCAAGGTAAAAACTACTGAGCCACACTATACCTCGGTCCTGCAGGACCTCAAGTTAAACCATCCAGGACAAACTTAGTCTTTAAAAAAAAAACAAAAACCCACAAATCTAAATTTCCTTGACCAGTTACTCTAAGAGAGAAAGAGAGCAACAAGCCAAAAGGTAAGTAGTGTTTCACACCTGCCTTCTCTCAGTGTTTTGGACATGACATTCTCTAGTGACATAGTCTTTCTGGGATTCCTAGAAAGCACTTTAATTTAAACTTAGAGAAAAACACTTCCCCCCCACCCCCCTCTAAAAGGAACATCTGTAAATGTATTCAGGAAGTAAGGACATTGAGTATTTTGAGTGGACATGTGAAATACTCATTTTTCAATATACGTAAGCGGTGAAAAACAGCAGATGGAAAGGCTGAAGATCTTTCTTGTTTTCTTAAAAAAAACCAACAACAACAACCACAAACCACCAAATGTGAATGATGAGCCCCCCCCCCCAAAAAAAAATAAATGAATAAATTGGCCAATAAATTGGCCTTTTTCATGATATTTCAAACTGCTCTGAGCTAAACTGGAGTTTGATATTAATTTATTCAAGTTGGTAAGTTTCCAAATTAATTTTGAGAGTAGAGTTAAGGTCTGGCCTGCTTTGGAGGGTCTCAGCAGAGAAGCTACTGGCCATGAGAAGAGACAAGGTGGGCTGATACATTCTGTCTACGAAGGGTCAGCTAAGACCTCAGTATCCTTCTCTCCAGGGAGAAGCGGGGCTTCCAGGAACAAGAGGCCCAGAGGGAGCACCTGGAAAAGGACAACCTGGCCCCAAGGTAAGGAACTGACAGTGTTGGAAGCAGACTGCCTGTGCTCTGCTCCTGATACTAAGGAGCCAACTTAGGAAAAACGTGATTGTTATTCTTGCTGTGTCAAATGTGTTTACTTCTGGCGTAAAGTTATGGATTCTGGCTTGTGAGCTATGGAAGAAAGCCAAGTATGTATTATTCATTTTTATTTCCCAAGATCTATTATAAGACCCAGCTTATACAAAGAGTTCAACACAGGTTTTTCTTAATAAATAGCCAGACTGAATTTAAAAAACACATAGGAAGGGAAAAGAAGGCGTGAGATATATCCTTGAGACCTGAAAGCCCATAGATTTTTAAAAAAACTATTTATGGAACTTCACACAGTAATAAGAAATATCACCTTATTAAGTGGCAATTTTACTTTCACAACATGGAATACATTTATTTTACACATTGTAGAAATGCTAGTGAATCCCATCTTTATATGTCATGATGAGAATATCTAAATTCATCAGTAGAACCATTAGTGATATAACACAGAGTTTTAAGGTGCCAGGTGCCCCTGCAGGTTTTATGTAGATTCCCATATGCCCATATTAAACTTTTGAAGAATTCAATATGAGGAAAGTAAAAGTAAAATCTGTGCACTTATTAGTACTTTATTTATAATTGTATTAAAGTAGTAATTGATTGCTTAAGAAGTTTATGTCTTGAAAAATGTTGGCTAAAATTGAGTCCTTACCCTTAAATGTGACAATTTGAAATTTAAATATATTTGTAGAGTTTCAAACAATTTTATTTATTGACTTACCAGATTATAAAAGATCTTTGGGGGCAGGCAGGGGATGTGGACAGAGAATATCTTTTTAATTAACATCATGCAAACATACTTATAGAAATGCTTGCTTACTAACATTCAAGAGAACTAATGTATTCTAGAATGCATTTTTGGAACACAGACCCTTGAATGAATAACTGAAGCTGTAAGAATGAATGATATCTCTGAGAAACAGAGCTGAGGTTTGAATTTCATTCTGTTCAGTAGCTGGAGAAAGAATTTTCAAAGCAGAACAAAGATAAGCAAAAGAGTTGCCATGTTAGGGAAACCAAGGAGAAAGGGTTTCAAAGAGTGGTACATGCCACCCCCGAAGCAAGGAGGATGTGCATTGGAAAGAGAGGCCACTGGATCTGTGGCTTTGAGGTGATCTGTGGCTTATGGAAGGCTAGAGGAGAAGAAATGCTTGGAGGTTTCGGAGTGAAGATGAAACAGTTCTTCTGGGAGAGGTCAGTGGGCAACCAGGCTGGGAACAGTCAGTAGGCAACTTCTAGCTCTAACCCAAGTTAATGCCCACATATCTCTCTACCAACAGAATTGCCAGTCTCCTTTGGGAGGAAGAACTATACTCCCTCTGGAAGAATAAATGGGGCTGAATTTGAAAAAGATCTCATTTTATGTTTTAAAGCTGAAACAGCATGGAAGCTGAAGAACCACCTGTTAATAGACCAAGGGTGAAAAAGAATTGTGAATTCAAACAAAGGTCCCCAAAGACAGACACTGAACTTAATTTTTTTTATTAAATCATGTTGAATAAGTGAAGACTGAGTAATTCTGAAGTACACAATATGCTCAAGAACACAGTTTGATAAACTCTGTGTGACTGAGCTGGGCTGGGGCACATCACTTTAAAATTGGCATAAGTTAAGAATGTGGCCCTGACATGGTTGCTATACGATTGAGGAGGGTTTGTTAATATGACAACTATATTCTTCTAATTACGTTGTCAGGGTGATGAAGGAAAGAGAGGGAGCAAAGGAAATCAAGGACAGAGGGGATTTCCAGGGCCCGAGGGGCCAAAGGTAAGTTTTTATAATCTCACTTTTGCCTTGGGAAGCTTGTAATTGTGTCTGGTTTTAATAGAATATTAGATTTCTACTGCAAATCTGATTTCCAATTTCCTCCTCAACAAATACAAACCAAAAACTCCTAAATGAAAAAGGCTTTAGGAAATACACTATTCCAGATCTCAATAGAATGGAATAGAGATTGCATAAAATATGTACTCTTCATTGGAATATTTATGCTTCTACGAGAGAATCTGCAGTCCTCTCTACCAACAAGCAAACATTCAAAAGTTGTGATAAAGTTAGGACATACCAATTCTCTGGCATCTTGCTTTGCTGGACAACTTGCAAGGTCCCAGGCTGAGCGGCGGTGCAGAGGGGGTGAGGGCGGGACTACAGAAGGCAGGAGAGTTGGGTTCTCACCCTGCCCCTTCCTGGAACCTTCCGGGCCAATTGTTTCAATCACAGAAAAAAAAAATAATAGTATCTATTTCACAGGGTTGTTGGGAAGACTAAAACTGTTAATAAAACACTCAGCACAGTTCTTGGCACATAGTGAGAGTTCAATAATGCAGTTATTTAAAGAGAGCAGATAATAATTTAATTAATTAAATAAACAAATAAATAAAAAATAAGTAGATGAAGGGGCACCAGGATCTGATTTTCTTAAATAAGTGCTTTCTGCTGCAGGTAGTTCAAGCAGCACACGATGAGAAATTCCACTTTATAAGAAATGTGTTATATTACTATTAATAACAATGACTACTCTTTATGTCTCAGTTACTCTTATTCAAAGTGAATATTTTTCTGATTTTTAAATAAAGCTATTTTTTTTATAAAGAATTCCTATATTTGAAAACATAAGCAAATCTTAATACAGGGTCTTTTAAAAATATATACCATCTAGGTACATAACTATGTATTTAAAAGCACAGTAATTGGCCTCTTAAAAAAAGTAGAGTAGATTAAATCTGGAAGCATTATTTTGCCCTGGTCTTAGTGAAAAATTGAACAGGTTAGTGTTTTATGTCTTTGCCATAGGACTGAACTGGGTAGTTATCTGTGGCCAGAATCCTGGTATGTCATGTGCCATTGCCTTGTAGTTTTGGAATTAAGGGTGGGCACATACATGCATTGGCATGATGTGGGCCCCAGTAGGCCGGTGTGCTCAGCTGTCCAACAAATTAGGGACCCTGTAGAGCAGGAGGCCTCAGCTGTGGCTCAGGGCAGGAGTCATTACCAGTGACTCTCCCAAAGGAGGCAGGAGATCAAATGGGCAGCTCACGATCTTAGAATAGATCATTCTTTAAGGCAGGAGGAAGCAAACTTTTATTTTTTTTTTATTAAATCCTCGTGGAGGATATGCTTACTGATTTTAGAGAGAGAGGTAGGGGAAGGGAGGGAGGTTGGGAGGAAAAAGAGGGAGAATAGGGGGAGAGAGGGAGAATTATAGATGTGAGAAGACATTCATTGGTTGGCTCCTATATGTGCCCCACTGGGGATCGAACCCACAACCTAGGGATGTGCTCTGATCAGGAATTGAACTCACAATCACTATATGAGACAATGCTCCAACCATACCAGCCAGCGAAGGCGGAGGCAAAATTTTTGGTAGATGTGTAGGTAGTAAATATTATAAGCTTTGCAGGCTAAGGAGTAAAGTTGAAAGTATTATATACACACTTTATTAACAACCATTTAAAAATGTGAAAGCCATTTTTAGCCCCTGGCTGTACAAAGCAGATGGCAGGTGGGATTTGGCCCACAGGTTGCAGTTTTCTGCACCTGTTCTATATTAGCGGTTTCTAAACTGTTTGATTATGCATCTCTAATAGTAAAAAAAAATATATATATATATTGACTACACTCCAATATAGTTTTATTTTTAATTATAATTTTTATTCATATACTACCATATTAATGGCACAGGTTTATCTAAATAATTGAAAATTTAAAAGATGAGATAAAAATTATAGTGTAGCCCTAATATTATCTTCTAATAATGCCAAACTGGTAATTTTAAACATATTGTAGGGAGTGTGCACCCTCTTTTAAAGATAATTGCTCTGCATAGTCTGTTTTGGGGAGGTAATGGCACCTACATCAGAATCAGAAGAGGTGCCTCATAAAAATTCATATTCCTGGGCCCAGTCCCTAGATCTATTGAATTAAAATATCTGGGACTGATCAACAGTAGATAACCAGATAAAGAAGATGTGGAATATATATACAATGGAATATTACTCAGCCTTTACAAAGAATGAAATCTTACCATTTGTGACAGCATAGATGGACGTAAAGGATATTATGCTAAGTGAAATAAGTCAGACAGGTAAAGACAATACCATATGATTTCACTTATATTTGAAATTTAAAAACAAAACAAATAAACAAAATAGAAACATATCACAGATATAGATGACTGACTGATGGTGGGTAGATGGGAGGTGGGTTGGAGGGCTGGGTGAAAATGGTGAAGGGATAAAGAAGTACAAATTGACAGTTACAAATTAGCCACAGGGATGTAAGAACAGCGCAGGGACTATAGTTAACAATGTTGTAATAATTATGTATGGTGCCAGTTGCTTCCTAAACTTACTGGGGCAATCAGTTTATAAATGTCTAACCACTATGCTGTATACCTGAAATTAATATAATATTAAATGTAAACTAAAGTTGGGAAAATTTTTTTTAAATATCTCTGGGACTGAAAATTAGATTCTGTATTTTACTAAATTCCTCTGGTGATTACTCCCTAAAATTTGAGAATAATTGGTCTAGAACTAGGTGGGACAGAGGTACTGCTTGATATTTCAAATTGAGTCTTTATAGAGACTCAATACTGAGACACAAAAAATTATTGAGAAATATTTTAATTTTTCTATCTGAAAATAATTTTTTTATCATAAACTCTCTACTTCCAAGATGGAATATGAGGTTGCTTACAATGGAAGACTGACACAAAACCAAATAACAAAGGAAAAAGTTATAAACCGTAAGAAACATTATTCATCTAACCAAGTATACTCTAAAACTTATGCTGAAGATAATTGTTATAACTGAAGAAATATTTCCCTCTGACTTCCCTGGCCTACTACAGAAGGGAAACACCAGGAAGTGCATAATTTTTATTAGCTAATAAAAGGATGCACAAGAGATAAAATTTTCCTAATACTCAGAAGTTAGTTGAGTGCATTTATTAAAGCATTGAAATCTTAGTATCAATAACTTTAGTTGTGATTTAACAAAGATATAAAAATATTTCACATTGGTCTGTAAAATAGATGGGTCATGATATTTTAAAATGCTGGAAACACATTTCTATGTTTTTCTTAATGTAATTCCTGTATATAGTTTTCTTTTTCTTGAAATGTAATGAGTATTTTTGTCTGCTTTTAGGGTGAGCCAGGGGTTATGGGCCCTTTTGGAATTCCTGGAGCATCAATTCCTGGACCACCTGGACCGAAGGTATGCATTCTTGGCAATATATTTTTCTTTTTCTTAGATAATTGGGAAGGGGGTGGAATTCATGATACCAGTCAACTAGAATTTTAGTTTGGGAAGAACCCAAGCTATTATGTAGTTCAATTAATCAAACTAAAGACCAGCAGCAAATATAAGATTAGAAACCAGATTTCTGTTCCTGGTTGTGAACTTGTCACTTCACCTTGAATTACTTCCTCCAAATTCTAGACCTTAGAGCAGGTAAGAATTTACTGCATCTATTCAGAAGAATCTCCTAAGACTTATAACCAGGAAGTGTGACAGAAGAGAAATCCACTCAGATTTGAGAGCATCCCCAGACATTCTTGCAGCCTAAACATTTGTGTCAAGTTAGCCACCTCTTATTTCAGTGACCTTTCTTCTAAACCAGCTTAGTAGTTTTTACTGACAGCTTTTATTTACTTAGGATATGAAATTCCCCTCAAGAAAAATGTTCTCTCTCAGGATCTGATAGTGGTAAATTAGGCCCTTTACAAACCAAGTTTTTTGCCCCCTACCATTGTGGTTTCTCATGCAACCTAAAGTCTGAAACTCTGAACACTGTTTGAAATGTCCAGGGAGACAGAGGTGGACCTGGGGTGCCCGGATTTAAAGGGGAACCTGGCATTGCTATTCGAGGACCAAAGGTAGGCTTTGTTTATGCTCTTTTGTTCTTATTTTCCTGCATGTGAGAGAATGACAGTAGATTTAATGCATCCTAAGTTGATGATGGAGATGGCTCTACTTCCAGTATGCAGATGAACTCAAATATAAGAATACACTATTCCCTTCAGTAAAAAACCAAATCAACTGATCATTAATTTTTCATGAATGCAGAGGATCATTTATTTTTTCCTAAATGTCATCCATCTTTCCAAGTTATTTTAAATGAAAATGCAAATAATTATAGAAGACAGCTTTAAGTAGTCATTTCTATTTTTCCATGGCAACAAAGCCCAGTGCTGCAGCAATGGTTAACATCCCAAATGGCAATAAGCACATCCCTGTGTCCATACAGGCTTCAGGGCTACATAATCAGCACTCATGAAATGAGTAGAATGTTGTTATGTAGCTTTGAAGTTGTATTCAGTTCTATCAAATTGTCTTTTCTAGACGAAAGTGTTCAAGTACTAACATTAGTGATTTTCAAACTTCAAAAAACAAACTTGTGAGTGTAAGAATCATTGATTGGCTGCCTTCTGCCAGGCCACTACTGGAGACAGAGCCCAAAACACAGGCATGTGCCCTGACTGGGAATCAAACCATAACCTCCTGGATCATAAGTTGATATTCAACTACTGAGCCACACCGGCTGGGCCATAAAAACAAAACTTAGAACCACTTTTGAAATATAATGCAAAATCTATTATATACTGATCTAAATTGTAGGGGTTCTTTCTGAAGGTCAAAGGAGGATCCTGGCATCATTTTTCTTATTCATGTTAACAGTCATTCTTGCTAGGGTGACAATCTTCTGGTTTATTGGGAACAGAGGAGGTTCCAGGGATGTGGGAGGTTCCAGCTGAAACAGAAAGTCCCAGACAAACCAGAACCTTACTCCCCAGACTTTGAGGCACACAGGAATCCAAATTATATACAACTCTGGGAGAAAATCCAAATTTCGTAATAAAAACTAGAGATATGACCTTAGTTAAGAACATTTGGGTGATAGTTTCTATTCTGTTTGATAACTCCCTGGATCTGTGTATTCCTGGATTTATGATTTATAGTTGCTTCTTTCTGCTTATTCCTTACAATAGATATAAAATTCAATTAAATATGCAGCTAGGAAAAAAAAATATGCAGTTGGGTTTATAAGCCCTACTTTATTTTCTACTGATGGTCATTGGACATTATTGGTGCTAGAATTTTTGGTGCTAGTCAAGTCATTGCCTCTTCACTTTCAAGTATTTTTGAATCCCGTGGCCTCCAAAGATCCTTGTTCTGTCCTTCTTCCCTAATACATGGGTCTTGAAGCATTTAGGGGTTAAATGCCTGATGGTAATTTTGTCACATTAATTCAGTTTTTGTGTATTACTTCAGAGACCTCCCAGATCCCCAAAAGCCCATTTTAAAACATCAGATTAAGATCTCTACCCTAACTTATGTTGAATGAGAGACACTTCAAATTGAATCACTTTGCATGACATTTTCTTGAATCCAGTGCCAAGAGGCCAAGTGGCAATCTTTCGTCTGAAAGTGTGTGGTGAGGGGCCAAAATGAAAACCTGAAAAGGAGCACTTCCCTTCTCCCCATCTCCTGATATTCCTGTGAACGTTGGAAGTAACAAGCTAACTAACATTTTTGCAGAAGAGAAGATAAAGTTCTCTAGGGGGAAAAAATGTTTGTAAACTATTAATGTTTTAATGTCCACCCTCCCGCCAGTGGGGGTGCCAGAGGCTAAATGACAACAGCTGCTGACGATTTGTTATAGGCTTGGCATGAATGAAGAAAAACTGAAAGCAAATTTTTATTCCAATTTTCTTTCAACTTAACCATGGAGCAGCTACTGCTGTCTGTTGTGGGCCTGCTCCTTGTGTAAGCATGGAGAGAAACGGACATCTTATTTTGGGACCTATCCCATGTGGATGCTTAACCTCAATTTAAACACAGTTGGAATAGCAGAATAGATTGCTTCAGGAATGACCAGTTTTCTACAGTTGGAGATACACCAAAACTCACCTCTGCAGAAGATCTTGCTTTTGTTCTCTGTCACACAGCTGTATGCAGTCATCTTGAATTTCTGTGGATGATAAACAGTAAACTAAGTTTTAATAAGTGACCACTTTCTTTCTTTTTCTTCCCTCCCTCCCTCCCTCCCTCCCTCCCTCCCTCCCTCCCTCCCTCCCTCCCTCCCTCCCTCCCTCCTTCCTTCCTTCCTTCTTTCTTTCTTTCTTCTGAACATGATCCAGTCTCTTAGATTAAATAGGAAAAAACAGTTGTTGCATGAGTGGGGGGTAGGGGGACAAAGGGGCAATAAGGACACATAGGTAATACCTTAATCAATAAAGAAAAACAACAATAACAACAACAAATAGTTGTTGCATTCATGGTTTTCAAAAACACTTAACTTTCTTACTACTTAAAGGGTATGCTGATTTCCTTCCTCCCCGTCCAATCAATTATTCTTGCATAGGAAAAGAATGAGGAACATTTTGGAGAGTTGGATTTTGGCCAACATTGTGGATTAGAAAAATGGCAGTTTGATTT